GGTTTCTTTCTGTTGACTTTTTATGACTTGAAGGTGTTTGATTAGAGGTGCTTCTCTGATCAGTGTACAATACACAGAAATTTTTATGGGACAACCAGACTGTCTTGGGTGTCCTGAATTTAACAATGCAGAAGCCCCTGACTCTTGGACCAACAAAGTATTAGGGAAAACAACAAACACACTCTCATTTTACCTGAAGTAGGAATTGTGAGTGGGAGAAGGTAGATTTTGTGTGCTGTGGTTTCAAAGTTGTGATTACTGAGCCCTCCTTTAACTCCCGTTTTCACTTAGTGAGGACAAAGCCCTGAATGTTTCCTACATCAGAAAGTAAAGCTGACCTCTGTTATACTTCCCAGAAACACAAAGGAAAGTGGTTTTTATGTCCTAATTACAGCAAAGTTTCAAAACTCGTTAACACCCACTGCTGGTGATGGGAGGAAAAAAAAAAGCATGGAGCTAGGGCTGGAGCAAGGTGAGTAAAGTTCTTGTGGAGAAACGGAGGGTTTCATCTCACTTCTCATTATTTTGGGGGCTCTCTGGGAGAAAGCCGTTCTGAGAAACTTTATCATACTTGTTACTCTTCTTGAAACTCAACATGGTGGCATAAAATTAGAACAACACATCTTCTTCTAAAAAAATAAATTATAATCATGACAGGCTCAAAAATAATCCGAAGTCATGACCCAAGAAGGCTGAAAGAAAACTGACACATGCATTGTAGGGTGGGTGGTGGGTGGTGGATTTTAACCCTTCAAAAGCCTTTCTACTGATCTTTTATTTACAAGGTGCTATTTCTCAAAACAGGGTGGGGAGGTGGGGGGGGGAGGGGCAATGAGGGGAGAGACTTCTACTTGTTCCTTCAGTTGCCAATAGCCAGCCCGCAGCGTTGGGAACACTCCTGTTGCGGGAGGGAGAGGGAATCAACAGCAGCACAAGCAAACAACCTAATTCCATTGTATCCCTGCCCATGGCAGAGAGTTGAAACTACATGATCTCATGGTCCTTTCCAACCCAAAGCACTCAATAGTGCTATATTATTTGATATTTTTTTCCTCACATGATCCCCTTGGTTTAAAACCAAACTCAATTTGAAGGAATGGAGAGAGGAAAGAAAAGAGGAAGAGATCAGCAGGTAGGACAGAGCAAAATAATCTTAGAAATAAGGGAAATTGGGTTGTAAAAGATCAGCTCCTATAGAAATGTGGTCCTGTAAAGCCCAGTCCTATAAAATCAGATGTTGGAAAAAATCTATTCTCCATTTAAAGGAAAAAAAAAAAGGCTGAGAAAGAGAGCATTCAAACTACCTAAAATAAACAAGAAAAAATAAATTCAGAGTAAGGCACTGTCAGTAAATGAAATGGTACCCAAAAAATTGTAAGCCATTTCAGCAATTTCATGTTGCATTGAAATTTCTCAGGCACAGTAAAGAGATCTTTCTATGAGATATACGATGGGAGAGGAAAGAGACGATATACTGACTCACCATGGAAAACATGGCATTGGAAAGAGGCAAAAAATAGTGAAACCTGAACAGCTGATACAGAGTAAGAAAGAGAAATAGAAGGAGGAAGATTTAAACACAAAGATAGCAACCAAGAAGCTTGAAATAGGAACTTTGCTGGTCACTGAGAAACTTTCAATGAATACACAAGACGTGGGTGGCTGCAGAGACCTCTGTCCATAAGACACTGTGAAAGTCTGAGGTAACTCTGAGTCAGTTTTCCAAAGGTCTTTGAGGAATGAGAGTTTCTGCACAGCACTGAACATGGCTTTCCTGGAAAGGCACTGTAGATCTTTGACTCATATCTCAAAAAATGTAAGAGTAGGACAGAAACATGGCAAAGGCTCATAAAATATTTGGAAGAGTGCAGAGATTTCATCTCTGCTCATGTTCATCTTCTCACACACTTTGTGGAATTAGCCATCACCTGAAGTCTGGACGGGAGAATTTCTTGGACAGATATAGAGGATGGCTGCATTCTGAAAAAGTAAAAAAAAAGGAACCCTTTAAATAGAGTAACAGAAGATTGTGGAAGCTGTAAAGGATGTCTGCTTATGGATGAAAGTGTGGTGAGAAAGCAGTAAGGAGGCAGATGAATCATGGATGTGAAGTGTTCAACATCCTGGTGTAGGACGCTCTAAAACAGTGACTCAGGCCCCAGCAGAGCCTCAAGATGAGGAAAAGTTGTCAGTTCCCTGGGCTCTGAGACAAAGAGCAGAAGAATGCGCAAGTCAGAAACAAGTGCCCCAGTTTTCTCCAGACCTCTCAGTTTCATCTTTCTTTTATTACAATGTTTCCCTTTCCTTTATTTGTTCCCTGTTTCTTCTTTTTGTATTGTTCTTTCCTCAACTGCTTCTTTGCCATTTCTTCCTTTCTCATGTTTCTTTGTCTTAACAAAACTGCCTTCCCGACCCCCATCTATAAATTTCCACCATTTGTAGGGTTAGAGCCCTACATGCCCTACAAAGTACAAAGACACCTTTCCACTTTGGCATTTTCTCTACTTTCCATACCTCTATTGCACTCTCTTCTTTAATTTCCCTTTTATTTTCTTAGCTTTTACATCATATTCTCCATGCCAAAACTTCAGCAAAAGATCAAAAGGGAAAACCCGGCAACACAAACTACAGATCTGATTGCAGCCAAGTGAAACTAAGTAAAAATGCTTCTGTATTAGCCACAGTTACTAACGGCATTTAATAGTTGGTGTTCTGTAGTTTTTACTAGGTGAACAAGAGGTTGGAAAGCATAAGTAGAAATAGCAGGCAGCACAGTAAAAATTTCTTTTCTCGTACAAGCTTGTCCAAAGCAGCACATCTTTTGTGGGTATTTTTGTTCTTCTTTAGTATAAAGTGAAATCTTAAAGCACACTTATTGCAAAATATGGCTTGAGACATAAGTTACTTAAATATGTATTCTCCCTTTGCACACCCCACGATGAACATAATCTCATTTTCACTTTCTGTCACTAAAAGAAGGAAGTGAGAATGACATTTGCTGATTAGAGAATTAGTAGTATTCCACACATTCTTGTTTTAAAGAATGCAATCACCCAGATGTTGCTGCTGTCAGCACAACTGCAATACTGTGCATGTTCACACTTCAGTACGTATTAAAAGCATAGTTTATAAATGAGCTGCATAACACTATGTCTGTATGGAAATATTATTCTAACATACCTTAATTGTATTCAATAGTCACATTTTATAACCTTTTAATTGACTAGTATTTAGTGTTTGGTAGTTAAAAGATTGTAACCAACCATCCATTAAAGTTAATTACCTGTAAATTGTGCTGGTCAGTTTAAGTATTGTGTGGTATTTTTCCAATTTCTCAATGGGCTACATTTAGAAAGGGAACTACAGAAGATCTCTTATATCTGTAGCATGTGTGTTACAGAAGAATAACTCATATGACAGCAATCTTGTTAGCGGCTGTTATGAACAACATTCAGCATGGGCCATATCTTAGGCTGTCAGTGTAGCTGCTCTGATTTACACCAGCTGAGGAGTAGGACACATGTATGATTCCAAGGAATGGTAACTTTTTTAGATACATCAAATCTTTCAAGAGAAAGATTGTCAGTATAAAACATAGTTGAGTTAAAAAACGAGGTTTCCAAGAACAGTGAAGTAAAGTAAGAATAACTACAGTGAAGGTAGTGATAGTTCCTCTGTGTTTATCTCCATGTAGGACTCAATTTGTTCCTGTATGGAAGGACTAGTTGTAAAGTCCTGAAGGAATTCTATTAGTGCAAAAAAAAAAAAAAGAAAAGAAAAGGTTTGAAATTCGGAAAAAAAATGTTCAAAGAACATAATAGAAAATTAACATGCTGAAATTGACTCTTGAAATATTCTCTTATCTAAATTTAATTATTTTTCTCTGGTAGTCCAGCGTGGTTTACAAGCATTAGCCTTTGACAATGTGTCAAAGATTCAGGGTTTGTGGCTCTTAACATCAAACTTGATATGGGTCCTGCAGGAACATGCAGTTTCTCTGGACTAATATATGAGTTGAAGCTACAACTGAAAAAAATATAGATATTTATATTTAAGTTTGGCCTTTATCACATCATAAAAAGGGATGTGGAGCTGTTGGAGTGCGTCCAGAGGAAGCCACAGAGATGCTGCGAGGGCTGGAGCAGCTCTGCTCTGGAGACAGGCTGAGAGAGCTGGGATGGTTCAGCCTGGAGAAGAGAAGGCTGCTAAGGGGAGACCTTAGAGCAGCTCCAGTGCCTGAAGGGGCTACAAGAAAGCTGGAGAGGGGCTTTGGGCAAGGGCCTGTAGGGACAGAACAAGGGGAATGGCTTTAACCTGACTGAAGGGAGGCTGAGATGAGCTCTTAGGCAGAAGTTCTTCCCTGTGAGGGTGGTGAGGACCTGGCAGAGGTTGCCCAGAGAAGCTGTGGCTGCCCCATCCCTGGCAGTGTTCAAGGCTAGGTTGGACAGGGCTTGGAGCAACCTGGTCTAGAGGAAGGTGTCCCTGCCCATGGCAGGAGTTGGAATGAACTTTAAGGTCCTTTCAACCCAAACCAGTCTGGGCTTCTGTGATTCTATGAAATACAGCCTTCAACAGAGCAGTTACAGATCAGTGCAAATAATAGCTACACAGCTGGGATTTTTATTTGTGATTTTGAGGAATTCAGACTGAAAACATCTTTTCACTTTCATGCACATACACTTTCTTCTCTTGTAGCTGCATCTTGAAGTAGTCACGTGTGATCTCTTGTGGTGCACTGCTAAGAAAATAACCTTCCAATGTCTTAGACGGATTTCTGTAAGCTGCCTTCAGGAGCTCACCTAAATACAAGCTCTGTTCGGGCACCTAACCAAGCTGGATCTGAGATGATATGGGAATGGTAACTTCACCTATGGGATGATGACACAAAGATCCAGAAGCAGACACAAGACCATGTATTAGATGGCCAGATGTACATCAGTGTTTTACCTTCTCTTTCTATCTGTATGTATGATATGATTTGAACCTTAACTTCTCAATAGTTAGCAGACCAAAACCAGTAACACCTGCTTTGTCATCAACACAGAGAAAGCTAGATCACACTGTGTTTTTTGCTGAGCAGTGGTCACTGCAGGAGACCCAGTCAAGACCTTCCAGTGTGATCAGCAAAAGGATGCCTTCTTAGGGTAGGTTCAGAAAATTTATTTTGAAAGCAAAAGTTTAACCAGCTTTCAGACCTGGCCCATTTTTATGCATAGTTAAAGAAAAAGAGGTATTTGGGAACTATTGCTGCTGTTAACCGAGGAGGGGTAGAAAATGTATTTCTAGAGTTGAGTTTTGTGTTTAGCTGTGCAGAGAATCATGGTGACCACAGTCTGGATCAGTGGCACTTTGGGAATATAAATCTATTCTCCTCAGTTTACTATAATCCTCGTACAAAAAGAAGGTATTACAATTATAGTCAGTCTTCTACCTCTGAAAATTTAAAAATATATATACAAAAATTTTCAAATAAATCATCCTTAAAAATTCTTTTTTTCCAGTAGTATTTTGTCTGCAAACCTGACGTGTACCTGTTTATATTTACAGTGTTAAAATATTTTAAAATAATTGCTAATGTTTATGTTTAAGTTGCTTTGAATGGACTATTTTTTGCTTTTTTAAAAATAACATTGGATTATTGTTTCAAATTATATTTTGCCTTGCATTGGGAGGAAGTAAGAGAAAAAGAGGAAATTTTTGGCATTCTGGAAAGAGAAATCCCTTGATAAATGTGGAAAAGAGCAAAGGAGACAGGAAGGATAATCTTCACTGGGCTGATCTAGTTAAAAGGAAACTCAACAAATATCTTTCTAACAAAGGAGTAAGAACATTGTTCATGGGCCTTACTGCAGTAATGAATAAGTCTCTACTAATGTTTCAAAACTTTATGAAGCACTAGCAACAATCACAAGCCACAACTTGTGATCAGCTTGTTCTAATGTTTTTGACACCACGTATGTGAAAATGAACATATATAATCATGATATATAAAGACCTGAAACAACGAAGACATCAATTCCTTTTCTTTCAGCTTAACGTTGCTCTTCTGCCAAGTGAAAGGAGAATTTATCTTGTGTAGCAACTTATATATGGAAGAGAGAGCACTGCAGAGCTAAGTGGTTCCTTTACGTGAAGTTACAGGATCAAAAAACAATCAGAACTTTTATTTCTCAAATTAAATATCAACAAATTGCACACAAGGTGAGACTCTCTTGGAGAGCGTTTCCAACGTCCTCACACAGTTTTCTTACTTACCAAGTCTACACAATTCTTTCAGTTCTTTTTTCAACAGGTCTCTGTACTTTTTAGCCAGAAGATCCAAGGCAAAAACTGCTCAAATACTACGTAACCTTACACATCACATCTGTCTACTCTCACACCCAGTTTCAACAAATGCAAGCCATGCTGCAAATGTGTCTGACTCAAAAACAAAAAGTTGCTTGACCTCTGCCATGCCTCTCATAAGTGTCTGAGGCTCACTACTGTGTGGACTCGTGGATTTGCTTTCACAAAGTTTTATCTGTAGTCCTTGTTGCATACCTATGCCTTAACATTTATCAGTGTCCCAATGTTATTAAAACAGTGGATGCATACAGACCTCCCTAAAAATTCTGTGGCCACATTCCAGTGACAGAAAACAAACAAACAAACTAACAAACAAAAAAAAAAAGGAAAGAAAAGAAAAAGAAAGAAAAGGAAAAGAAATGAAATGAAAAGAAAAAAAGAAAAGAAAAGAGAAAAGAAAAGAAAAGAAAAAGAGAAAAGGGGAAAAGAAAAGAAAAGAAAAGGAGAAAAGGAAAGAAAAGAAAAGAGAAAAGGAAAGAAAAAAAAAAGATGCCTGTGTGTCAAACCTCAATATCATGTACGTAAGTGACCACTTTTCATTGCACAACCGGCTCATTTCTTTTGCATTTTCAGCTGTATTTATCTACCATAGTACTGCTTTTGCTAGGTCACTAATTGCCTGTCACTAATTGTAGCCTACCTGAACACTGCCTAGACAAATGAGACCAAATTATGCCTGCCCATCTTGAACAAACTACATTAATTTGGTATAAACTGGATTTAGTTAACTATAGGTCTAGATACAAGGTGGTTCATTTAATTCTAGAAGAGGTAGGAAGAGGTAATCATGATCAAAAGGCTGATGAGCAAATTAATTCTTCAGAAACCATGTTTCTTTTTCAAAGTTCTAATTTTGCTCTGTAAAAGAGTAGAAAGGCAGATGCACACACATGAAATAAGCTACTGTTCCTTGCTTGAGGTTGTAGAAGTCTGTAACAGGATGATGCCAACACTTAAGCCACTTAAGCTTTCATATAATAAAAAATGGGATGAATCCTTTTTATTTCCAGTTAGCATGACTGAACAAAAAATTGAGCAATATTCACCTTTAAGAAGGTTGATGTTTTTCTCTCTGAGAATATTTTTGAAGGTATGTTTCACAATAGTTACTCTGGTATTCTTATTTATGCTGAATTGCTGATGTTAACATATATAAATATAATATATTAAGTTTTTTTTTTCATTTTTGAATGCAAGTTGAAACAAGTTTAGTGGAAAATTTATTTTGGAAATAGTTTAGTGGAAAATTATTCACAGCAATCTATTCTTTTATGGCTGTGAAAAGAGCTAATAGATATAATGCTTATTACACAAGTGTTAAAACATTTATCAATATAAATTCTCTAATGGTGTCAAAATCCTTGGTCCTTTTTCAGTAGGACAGTCTTTGATGGGAATTTTATCTTATTGCTTATTGCACTTCCTTAGGACCACTGCATGATTAGTTCTTAATGCAAGCCACAAAATGTATTTGTTAATGGAGATTTAAGACTTTAAAGCTGGTGATGGACTCATTCAAGATGCAAGTAGGAAATTAACAAAAAGTTAAACTTAAGTTCACTGAGTCCCACGTAACAAGATCCTGCAGATTCAAGAAAGCTGGAAGAAGACAACATGATGAACATCCCCTGAAAATGTGAATAGTGCCTGTTCATAAAAACAGCCAGGAATGTGTCAGTCTGCATCTGACTGAGCTTGGTAAGTGAAGGCAGGTTAAGATCCTAATGGCAGCATGACTCTTTCTTTTAGAAAGCAGTGCAGACATAGGTGTTCTGCTTTCTAGCAGCATTAGATTTGCAATGGTTGGTTCAGCCCAGTTAACTGTTTTGATAATGCTATACTGGTTGAAGTTTTCCCAATCAGGTTCTCATGGTTTCCCAATCCACTCTACCTCCCTACTGAATGCATTTGCATGCAGTGCAAGGAGGGAAGTGAGAGCTGGAATGTGTCCTCTTACCAGCCCTGGGGCTACGTTATTTCAGGTATATAAAGCTATCTGGTCCAGCTTGTTAACCCAGGAAACTTCTAGAAAGCCTTTCCTTTTTCTGAGACAAAGACCCAAGCCAAATCCATGCTTTTTTTTTTTTATGTTTTAATAGTAAGATTGTTTCCAAAATAATTATACTGTGGATTTGGTTACATGATGTACATAAGAAGTGAAAAGGAAGAACACGTATGACTTTCAGTTTCCTGAAAGCCAACATATACAGATGCAATTATTTTCCCCCATTATGTTCACACTTTACACCAATCACATTGCAAGGCCATCTAACCTACCTTATACTTATAATAAGTAATGTACTCCAGCTCCCTTGTTTCTTGAGGAACAAGTAGTGTCATGAGATGGCAATATTGCAAGCGGAGGAAGGCATGCTAGTCTTGTGTCACAAAATTCAGTACTCAGGATTCTGGTGTTTGCACTGCTCTTAATTACAAGCCTTGGAGAAAAGGGTCATCTATCATGCACAGAACTCCAAGGGCAGCTTTGTTGGCTTATTAATCCCATTGTAGTATCAGATCATAAAAACAATTTGAGTGATTTGGTAATGTGATTTGGTAATGCTCTGATTTATGCGTTACCATGAACAGAAGAGACAGATTAACCATACCATGAATTGTAACACACTAATTCCTCATTGTGGCTCTAACAACTGAGTCACATGCAGTTTCAATTATTTCACATGTTTGGCAGCCATTCTTCCCAAAGGAACAATAAGCATTAACACAATAATCTGAAAGAAGCTTATTAAAACATGTGTGACATAAGTTCCGTCTATTAAAAAATATTTGACGTTCCATGCTGCTTTTGTTTTAACCATACTAATTTCTGCAGTTAAAAGATCTTAATCTGAATACCTTAAAAATGCTTTCAAATTTGTCATGCTCCACTAATATGTCAGATCATTGATAGGCTAATAAACTAGTGTTATTTTAGGAGAAATTCATGAAAAATTATGGGCAGCAGGGGTTAACATGCTCGGATGGGAATGAGCTCTTCTGAATTAAGCAGTGTTTTAAATTGGATACACTCAGTAGAAGAATGATGCTACAGCCACTGCTGCTTCTAATAATGTCTTTTTCTTCACTCAGAGCTCTTCAATCAGAGATTCCCAAACACTTTACCAAGACTGTGAATATCAGACTTACATTTTGCAGGTCATGTATGCAGAAACTAAAGCCAAGACACAAATTGACCAGAGAAACAAAAAGAATCAGTGCCAAAATTGGAATGAAATATTCTTATATTTTCTGTCCATCCTACAAACCCCAGAATTCTTTTTAAAAAAATGTCAGAGACATGCTTTCATTTGTTTTTGCAATTTACATTTCAGTCCAGGTTGGTTTGCTATTCCGTCCATTATACTAATATGACACATTGTCCTATGCTGTCTCATGAACAATGAATGAAGATGGAATTTGGACAACTTGTTCAACTCCATTGCATTGCCTGAGTGAAAAAGCTAAATAAGATCAATAGATGTGCTGTGCAGATTTTACAGTAGAAGATGCTGTGTATTCCACACACCCTCTTGCCTCCAAGGCAGAAAGTGAGTAGTTGCCCCTGCTCAGCTTCCTTGTGAAGAAACTTTCTCCTGTGGTGGGACTGTAGCTTCTTGGAAAGGGTAGCCATTTATCACAGTCCTAAATGAAAGCATTCCTTGGACACAAATGTCTTTTTCTTTCTTTGTCTAATTACTGAGGGGAAAAGTGAGAAGGAAATGTCAAAACAGTGAAACAGTGGTGTATAGAGAGCAGTCACTTTGGAGCTCAACCAGCTTTTGTGAAGGCCTGGGCAATTTGTCAAATGGTTGTGGCATAAGTCAAGCCCTGAGGTTGAAAGGTCTTGACCTAAAGAGTGCTGAAATCAGGCAGTATAAGCAAGAGGGCTGCCAGAAGTTTCAGCTGTAGTGGAGATGAACAATGATGGGTGCTGGACACAACAAAACCTCATCTGCATAATTCAGGTAAGGAATTTTATTGAATCTGACAAGTATGTGACAGGCTGAGAAAGAGAAAAGAACATGCTCTTGCTGGGAACCTTTAAAGCTCTTCCGTTAAGGTATGTGGAAATAAATGACAGCTAATCTCTTCACTAAAAAAAAGGTAAACAATGCCATTTTACACAGGCCTCACCCATGACCTTTTCATAGATGAGGCTATCCACTTTCAGGCCAGGCCACAGAACTTATCAAAAACAATGCAGTGAATTCAGATTGCACAAGAAGGGCTTTGCTTCTCCCGGTTGCTTCAAGTAATGCTGCTACTCGTTTGGCAGGTATACTTAGCAGAAAGGCTACCACTTAAATCTAGGGAGTAACGCATCATGGCAAATGGAAAATCCACACAGAGACCTTTTAGTGGAAGCTTTTTGGGGGGTTTATTTTTCTCTTTTTTTTGTGTTTTTTTTTTTTTTTAGGGTTTTGTCTTGCATGAGTCATACTGCAACTATAAATCTCAAGCTAAAAGATCATAAAGTGACAAGACAAATTTTCTGCATCATTTTCATCAATCTGTTGTTGCTTTTAAACTAACCAAAGTTTTAAAAATCCTTCATTACTTCCTCATGCCAAATTTCTGAGAATTTCTTTTTAATTTATTTTAACCACTTGTTTCCATTATAAGTCTTCTTTAGGTAAATAATAGAGTTTAAGAAGAGTATGCAATTGATGCTTTTAAAAACACAAATAAGATGCTGACCACTGGCTTTATAAGAACAACTTTAGTTCATAAACACTAAGACAAATATGACCTTAATACACGTACAAAACTCAGAAGTAATGGTTGAAAAATCAAATCTAGCCTCTATGTGTTAACCTAATAGAATAAGAAATGACCTTGAAGGCAAGCAAGAATTTTCCTTTTGTGAATATTTATGAATATCTGTATTCTTGAGAGTTCTTTCTTAGCACTGAGTTTCTCACACAAGTAGCCCTTGATATCTATACAAGGAGAGTTTCTTGCCAGATGCAGACCTCTAAGCCTGACAAGAAAACAATTTGTTATACAGGCTGCTGAATGGTTAGAAGGAAAGCTTAAAATCTAGAGGAACACAGTGTGGCTGTGACTTGCAAGAGCAGAAAATCAACTCTAAAACTCCTAAAATAAATACAAAACCAAAGGTTAGACTGACTTTATTGAGCATTAGTCACAAAATCCCCAAGCACTTCTGTGGATTACTGGCACAGTGATTTCTGCAGCACACAGCACACATGTATGTTTCTACCAATCTGTGGATCATTCTACCTAATGGGAAGCAGTTAAGAGTCCTGGCTGGATCAACTGTGGATCTTGGTTTATAAGCAGCCCAATGCATAATTCACAAGGCTTAATGAATATTCCAATTCATGACAGCCAACTGGCTCCATAGGTCACGCCTCCCAGTCTAATATAAATAAAGAATGAGATACTAGAAAGCATACCAGCTGAACCCTACTAAATGCCAAAACCATACATATTAATGAGGCACAATAAAAGATATACTTGAGGCTCAGGAAGTGATTCTATTGTTTTCCAGCTTTATAGAGGAAGAGGAAAAGTTTGCAGTGCACCTTTCAATATACTGCACCGAGTGCAACATGAAGCTTCCCCCCCCGTGGCAAAGAGGCAATCAGATTGTGGCAACTGCATTTCACATCCAGCCTCATCAGGTCTCTGACATCCTCTGTCATTTCCACCACAATAGCGAAATCCACACTGGAAATATCCCCACCCTCCTCTCCCATGTTCCGCAGCAAGTCCCCATTTGGTAACTAAGGAGAGGAAGTACTTCAGCAGCACTGTTCTTTTATGTGCTCTGTTTAGACCTTGGAACAGGATGAATGGTAGCTTAGATGAATGCATTTGTGCCATTTTTCTTGGCCCCAGACGATGTTTCCTCACTACCATGACATCTGAACAGAAGGAGAAAACATCTCCCTTTTGTGGCAAGCTAATTTAATTTGTACTTTCTACCTAGGGGTAAATACGTTTGTCTGTCTTTCTAAGCTCTCTTTGCCCACTTTCTTTTCTCATGGGAAACCCTGCTGAGTCAAAAGCAGGATATTGCTTACTGCTCTAACTTTATTTTAAAGTAATTTAATTTTAAGCATACTCACACCCACCCTAAAGTGAAGCAACCGTAGGAGCTCCACTGGGACAGCCTTAATGACTTTTGCATGTCTCTTGTGTCAGAGACATCAAGGGCTTGTTGTTAGGGAGGTATTTGCCTTTTAAAATAAATGCTTTAAAAAAGGATCTCTCTTTTGCTGTATCCTCAGTGCAAGATGTGTTTCTTTATTTTCAAAAATCTTATGGCTTTGCACATTGACCTACCAACTTTAAAAAACAGCATTGCAAACCATTGACCTTTGCTCTTTGCTGATCTGGTGTTATATGTGATTTGACCTTGTTTTGTCTAAGAACTTTGTAAAAAGATTTAAAATAAATAACAAATGCATTTCTTTATGAAAAACAGTGGTAAAATATGACTCGGAGGACTCAGAATTTACATCCTTCTTATCTGATTTATGCATTACTTCTTTAAATAGGCAAATATATTAAGGGCATTATTTAATCCAGTACTGAAAAGTTTCTATATTTAAAAAAGCCGAAAATCTTTATTAAAAAATTATTTTTATTTTAAAAGAAAGCTGAAGTCTAAACTTAAGCATAATTTAAAGCCTATTTTGCTTATAGTGACATCTGTTCTTTTATTTAAACTTCATTAGCTCGTATTAAAGTGGCAATGACACACACAAGAACCTACATGTTAAAAAACTTATTGTATTTTTTCCCTTTAAAACAATTTAATTTCAGGGTTATTTCCAGGTAAATATTTTGTCATCTTGTCAGATAAGAAAAACAAAACATACAACACTTAAAATGATAAAATATGTTTCTAATACATGCTGCAATTAATATCACAGGAACCAATTTTACCTGTAGTTATCAGTTAATATTTGCATAATATTGTAACAACGTTTTTTACAATGACTTGCACTTTGTATTATGATCAGAAACATATATTTCTGTCATATTCAAAAAACAAAACATGCAACATTTAAACTGATAAAGTATATTTCTAGTATCTGCAGTAATAAATATCACAGAAACTGATTTTACCTGCAGTTACCAGTTACTTGTTCTTTGGATAATATTTTATCAGGCTTTTTCTCAGTGCTTTGCTTTCTATGTTCTGGTCAGAAATGTGCATTTATCATCAGCAAATCACACAGACTTACAGGGAAACAAGTCTTGGAATCAGTCACAACATTCAGAAAGATTAATCATGACAGCATTGCTGTTTTGCTCAGAAAACTTTCCTCCATTCTGTTTCTGTTGCTTCAGTGGTTTGTTTTTATGAACAAGCTGCATTTGTTAGGAAAAGGAAACAGTTCTCTTATTCAAACTTATGGTTTTGGAGGCTAAACATGCAATACTGTGACAAACAACAGTTAATGTGCCCTCTAGAGCAACAGGAGAAGTGCAACTGCCTTGCCTGCCTTGTTCTGCTCAGTGTATAAAATATACAAGATAGATAGAAAATGGACAAAACACCTTTCTTCACTTGTGTAGGGGGCTGCTCAGCCATAACCCAATACTGCCATGCGCGTTGTATGGTTTTACATCAGCTTTTGGGGATAAGGGAGGTAATTCCTTGTGTGGGATGATGCGTCCATGCATCCCTCAGTAGAAACGTATCAGGAAGCAAAGTTGAAGGGCGTTTGGTGAATACTTTTGATGGATGGCTAGAGGATGGATCCTGCTCTCATGCTTCACTTCAGAGTAGCTTTTAGCCAGAATTTGGACCTCAGAACCTTTGCCTAGACAAGCATAGACCTCAGATATATGTAAAACTGATACATGGATTCCATGGTAGCCCATGTTGAGGCCAGCTAGCCTGTGTACCATGTCAGAAAAAACAGAACCTAGGTGCACAGAGACACAGGTTTTTAAAAAAAAAGGGTTCTGAAGTATTTCTGAATTTTACCTACTGGCCTCTTAAGTCCATAGTCCTTCAAGCAAATTGCTTGAAGGTCTGGAGCTTTCACTTTGAACTAGAAGTTGGTTTTCAGGACCTGGCCTCTGATAAGGGTGGAAAACCTAATTAGCAAAATCCCTTAAACATTTGCTTCGTTGCAATAAATTTGCCATCTATAAGAGTTGTAAATTGGTCACAAAATGTGTGGCTTTAAGAAGATAGTTATCTTTAGGCTATAAAAAAGTATTTCTAGCCTTATAGCCCAGCTGTGTAAATCAAGGCCATCCACCCTTCCATTAGAAGCTAAGCTCTTACGGCCCATATGGACAAAGGACTTGGTTGTTTATGAAGCAACAACATCTGCTTACACTCAGCCTCATTGTCAAAGAGTTGTTGGTTAAAAGCACAGGATCTCCTTTCTCCATTTCATGCCATATTATGTTTCATGTGGGAATATCTACTCTCTGAGGCTTGACCACTGCTTTTAACTGCTGGACTTTAAAGACTTAGCTGCTTGTAGTGAGAATCAGATCATTGACTCCCCAGCAGTCTGGAGAGCACATTTTGCTGGACACTTGAAAAATTTCTTTTGGTCTCCAGACACGTTTCTGCAAAGTATTAGCTTTCCTGTGTTGCTCCGAACCTAAAGTTCCTGTGTAAACAGCCCTCTGGTTCAGTTTAAGATAAAATATGGTGTTTGGAACTGAATTCCTCAAATGCCACAGGTGCATAACAAAGACTATTAATTACACTCAAGCCATAAAATGACGATGAGTTCTCCAGACCGCATGATTAGTATTGCTATCAAATAAAATGTTTCTGAGCTTTTTGTGCTGGCACAACGTAATTTTACTTAGACCTGAATCGCTAATACAGTTGGAAGAGAGAACATGATGTTGCAGTTAATCAGTTTTTGTGAAGAGAAAGCACCTGAAGGAAAGAAACTGCCATACAGATTAGTATGGTTTCATTTGGCTACGTCTCCTTATCTGTACCTCAGCAAGCACTTGAAGATAGAAAATGCTTAACATGGAAATTTATATAGTCTTACAGTAAATGTTCCTATCCCTAATCTTCAGAGCATAGCAGATTCAAGCATTGTCTTGGACAGCTAGAAAATGTGTGTGCAGAATAAAAGACATATTTACAACGTATATAAGAAACCCATAATGCAGTTTACAGAGATAACTATTTTTCTTTGGTATTTTCACAGTATTTTATCAATTAATTTTATTGTGTGTTTTAATAGCAGGTTTGTTGAAACCAGTGTGATACCTGTGTCATACATGAAAATGTAAGCAGATTGTGCAGATGAAAAAGGTTAAAGTTGGTATATGACTTATTTAGGTATGCTGATATGAATGTGTACTGCCATGGCCTGAAACTTTAAGAAAAATAAAGAATACAGCTGCTAAGGAGACTCATGGAATGGAAGTGAGGGCAAAGTACTGGCAAATCAATATGGAACCTGACCATCATCCTGGGAAAAAATACCCTAAAAGTACAGCCTTCAAAATGGGAGCAGTGGGTGACATAAGGATTTCTGACTCAAAGGTTGTTGAGTCCAGCCCCCAAATATTGCCACCACTTGCATCATGCAATGCCTTCTTAAAAATAAACATCTCCTGCTTAAAATTTGCTGTTTCAAGCCATTTCCTCCGACTTGTGTAACTAATCTGGAAGCTTGCTGCTTTCATAGTTCTAATTTCTGCTGGAAAAATGCTCATGCATGGTGGAAATTAATGTG